GATATATTTTTTACCATATGAAGAGCTGCATAAATTCTCATCTCAAATAACCAAAAATATATACACTTTTAAATACTGATTTACTGTCTGATTGCCCTAAAACTGCGTTTCATCAATCATCAATTTTCAATCAATTTTGATTCCTGATATAATTAAGCAGATTGGCAGTTTCCTCCGTGTTTAAAATTCTAAGAATACGGAAAGCAATAATTAGTTTTAAGGCATGCATTAGGAATGTTATCTGTATAGCCGCGTTTAGTAATTTTGCATGCAACATTGTGATGGAACCCAATCTCAACATGTATCTTGAGTATGCCTAATTTGATTAAATAGAAGTTTTCAACCGGATTCGAGATTTTGCAAAATATTTGAAATTTATTTTTTGTCACTGGTATTAGATTTTTGTTAGAAGGGCTGTGAAATCTTAGTGCTAGTATTTGTTTGTTTAATGTTTTTGACCAAAAGGAATATGTATGTGTTTTTTGATACCATCGATAAAATGTTAATTTCTATTCATTACCGTTCGTGTACCTATATTTTGATATGTGATTTAATAACTATTTCAAATAATTTTCTAAACTGGTTTGACTGATATTTTAACAATGAAGGAGATAGGTGTATAGGGAAATTGTTTAGGAGTTCTAATGAAATATAATGTGTTATTGGCCAAACATGTTATTATTTGTTAAATAATACATATGCAATAATCCAACTTATTTATTTGCATATCTTAAACTCCTAGTCTTCACACAGCCGACAGTTTTATAAAAGGAAAACAACAATACAGGTAGTACAACTAAAATTAAGTACACAGCTAAGTGTTCGAAACGACTAGGTGACCATAAATTAGTAAATCTCAGTTCGTTGTTCTCTGAAACAAAATTTCCACTTTATTATTAGATTCAGAAACCATATACGGTACCTGTAATTTTGTATGATTAGAAACTACCGAACATGGAAGTGCAAAGAAGTGTGTAAAAATTCCATTAAAAATATTTATATTGAAGCTCGATTAAATCAAGACGTTTTTGAGGCTCATTTTACAATTTTTCTAGGAAATAAATTTATATCGAAGGAATTTCTGAACTTTCATTTAAGCGAGTTTCAGCTTATTTTAAAGCCCAACTGATATTGCACATGCAACTACTATTAGATATTTAAATTTTGGAGTGTAATTATAGCACCAAGGATCCTTACCAATTATTGCAAATCCATATCCAATTTTATTAGTCCCCATTCGATAGCTACARGTGGGAATTAGAATCTCGTACATGTTTTGAACTCCCAACGCGTATTCATAAATCTGATCACTTTCGGGAGTAATGGGGACAATGTGATAATCTTTSTGGAGCAAAGCATCTGTGCTAATAATCATGGATTTATGCTCGTGAGCAGTAAAAAGTACATGCGGCTGCATTTTGTTGATGACCTTAAATATCGTTATTGTGTTTTAAGCGAAACGAAAACATATTTAAAGTAAAAAGTACCTTCTCTGGGAATGGGGAAGGCCGAAACATTAAGGGTATGTGGCTCAGACCTACAAATATCTTGCTAGTGTCGAAGAAGTCTCTCTCCTTTTTATATGCTGGAATGATGTGAGTTAGACGATTTATTTTGAAGAGGGTGACATTGCCGACAGTATGAAAACTAGATTGGGAAAAAGCCCGTTCGAACCTTTGCAGCTTTTTTGGTGTTACATCAGTGTCTTCTCCTCCAATGTCGTTGTCCCCAGGTAGCCAAACATGCTGAATTTTCAAACAGTCAACTGCATTGATCATTTTATACTTAATCCAAGGGCCAAAATTACCTTAACGTTATTATCAAGTCTATAAGGATTCAGGAATATATTGAATATCCTCCTTACGTAGCTATTGAAGTCATCATCATTTGCTATGTGTGCTTCATCCATTAAGTCTCCAAGAAACACAACCACATGCGGTTTAGCATAGTTATAGGCATAATAGTACGTTATTCTCAAGAACCTTCAATTTTCAAGATCAATCGCCAGTTTATATTTACCGTTATATATATATTGTATGTATTTTAGTTTACCTGTCGCTATCAAAAATAGTGAATGGGCTCAAGGGCGGGAATATTTCATTTAAATTGCCAATAATCTGGGGATCAGCTACAAGAAGAATTTTTATGCAGTCTTTTTTGTTTCGACAAGTCATGAAAGGCCATGAGCCCGTTTTCAATTTATATATTAAAAACTCTGCATAAAACGCGTACGATAATGTTAAAATTGTCCAAAAAGTCAGACATATTTTTTTCTTGGATAACCTGTAACAAATAAAGATATTCTATTATAAATTATAAACATTGAGTAATCAGTTTCTATAAATTGGGCAAATTATAAATGCATAAAACATTTAAAATAATGTAGTTATCAACCTGTAATAAAAGACGTGAGGAAATTGTGGCATTTTAAAGACAAAAATTAAAGACAAATTAAGACAAAGTTTATAAAAAAATTTAAAATAATGCAAGTTTTCTAGAAACATAAAAATATTGTCTTGGGGATTAGGTCTGGACAGTGGTAAGAAACAAAACGTTTTTAGGTACCAAGTTTACGGCAATTTATTTTTGCCTTCATCAGCAAGCATATTGTTCGGTTTCGAAGGTCTGAGAACTCTCTAGAATTTTTCCGATTACATTATTTTCATTCTAAAGGTAACTGGGATATAAAATTATTTCCCTGAGTCATATTAACAGCGTCAGTGGTAGTCAATGATTAAGATTAACATTCTGCAGAAAAAGAGAGATCAGACAAAATTTTTGAAATTGTTCTTGTATCGGTCGGGAAGATTTCTTTGAGTCTTGCAACTCACGATATTTAAGAATTATTCGGTTATTTAATTAATAATTCTACATATATATTTCTGATTATTGAACAGCAGTAGTACCGACTTGTGAGCAGGTAAACTTCAAATTAAGATCAGTTTGCATGTGTATGGATATTTAGGTCTAAAACAAGTTGATATAATGAATGACAATTGTAAAACATTTCTATTGGACGACTGATAATTTAAGTCAACTTGAGTCGTTCGAATCGAAAAGGATGATAATTTTTTACTGATTACACAGCGTATTTTTTAATGAATTAAATAAACAACAAATTTACATTTGTCTAATAAGAGTCTTTGTAATATACTGAGGTAAAATTAAGTCACTTTACGAGTAGTACCTACATACTTTCTGTTTACTGTAAATAGAATAGAACAGTATAGAATTGAATTTTTAAAGCATTAAATCTGAATTAACTCTGCATAACGATTTTTTATATCTGGTAACCAGTTTTTAAAAAGTATTCAAAATGAGCGAAAAGTACGTATTTTCTTATATTTAATTGAATAGGGAACAAAGGTGAAATATTAGTTGTTGAGGCTGATAAAGCACTCGACAATGAAATATATTGGAAATCAGATAAACTACAACCAATTAAATGAACCAACTAAAATTCAATTTAAAGATTAGTGATGATTTATCCAGATGTCCTAAAAAATTGTAATAATACTGTCTGAAAAAAGCCTTTAAAACAAGTGTCCGATACCTTTACCGTAAGAAAAATATACGCACTGCACTGAATCTATAATAGTGAAATAGGTATATAGCGTAGCAAAGTGTAGTGTACAGGATTTAAGAAAATTAAGGTGTTTGCTTAGTAAACAGGGGATATAAAGTCGCGCATTGATGTAAAAAAAATGTTTTTACTCTCAACACATTTTTTACTCTACAAGATTATACTATCAGATCTGGAATTCAAAGTGTTTTTTTTAGGTCAACATTATCAACATAGTTTTTTAATTCGCACGTGCAAAGGTTTGATATCGGTTTATGTAGTCAGTGTTTATTCATTGGTTGATGAATCATTTGTGTTTGTTGGTTTTAATGATTTTCCTATTAATACGAAACAGAAATATAATATTATTCACTAGAATTCGATCCGTCCTAACGAGATGAAATAAGCTTATTTCATTTATAGAAGGAATGTTTAACTTTAAATATTTACAATTCCGCAATTCGCAATTCGCCAACTTGAGTAATACATGGTAAAAAATTCCGCTTCGCGCGTATTAAAGAATACAGGATTTCACATTTTTAGCGCAAACCGCTTATAAAATATTCTTTCTTTCTTTAAAAGGTCTAGTGAATAGAAGTTCTTGTTTCGAAAATCAAACGACGTTATTTCTGGGCAATGAGAACTGAGATTTTATTTGATATACACATTTGCCTGATGAAGTGAAAAATGCTAATATTGATAAGATGTTTTCAAATTTTTCCAATATTGCTACTAGTTCATATTATCTAGTTTTATTGGTATCCTTTTATAACGAGCGATATGCTAAATAACATTCATTGTATTGCTAACTCTAGATAATTCGTATTTGTATAATTTTATACGATTTACATCACAGCCTAATATTTAAGGGTGAGGAAGTGAAAATCCAAGGGAGTTACATAAAAGAGTTCATCTAACTTTTAAATATTTAGTGAATTAATTTAATGAGAAAAAATGATCCCTTAAATAAGCTATATTTTAGAAATCAGTATAGTAAATGGGGCAGTCAAATTACTGAATAAATTGCATACACACCTTAACATTTTAGGCGCTATATCACTCCATCATACCTTTAGAAACTAATGAAAACTATAAATCTGTAAAAAACTACATATTTATGAAAAACTTGTTATTTATTATGAAATGTCACAACCTCAAACATTCTGTCATTTTTGGAATTAAATTTTGAAAAGAAAAGTTGGAATATTAATAAATGTTTGGGTATTCAAGCAAATTAGAGAGAAAATTGACTTTATTTAAATTAAATAATTGAATTAAAAAAGTCAAATTTTTTAAATAATGGTAAAACCGGTATGTATACTAGACACAGGCACATCATAACCTCTGAAGCCTCTAAAGCAGGTTAACCCTACTTAACTGATCATTGTTATTTGATTAGCAACATTTCAATCGCTAAAAGTGGCCCGAAATATTTCCCATGTCGTCTATGACTTTTAGCCAAAAGATCTTTAAACCTACCCCTCCAGAAAAGGGCAGTTTTCCGTTAGATCACGAAGGACTTTGCAAAACGTCTATGGTAAAGTATATGAAGTGTTTGTATAAGGAGAACAGTAAGAATTCCGAGTGCCGTTTAGAAGCTAAAGGTAAACGTAGCCAAGCCCTACCGCATAGTTGCCCTACACTGGTTGCTTGTAGAATATCTTGATTGCCGCATGAATAACAATCTGATGGCCAGAGAGGAATGGTCAAGGCTCGGCTTTCAAGATCTTGAAAGTGAAACCGTATCTGTGGACAAACAGAACTAAAAATGGTTAATATTCTAATAGGGTGTACAGGGAGTGTTGCCACCATCAAACTTCCACATTTAATTCAAGAAATTTATCAGCAATTTGAAAAGATTCATCATAATATCAAGGTATGAAAAGTCGACTTTATAGTTGTCGCATTTCACATCTTTTAAGATTCTTCTATTATGACTTGATTTTGAATAGTTAGTGTTTTTTATATCCCATTTTCTCTACTTAATGTATATTGGGTGGTTTTTAAGATTAGGGTTGTCACCACTGAACATGCAAAGCATTTCTTTGATCCCAAAGATCTTGGAAATGTAGATGTTTTTTGTGATGAGGATGAATGGAACGCGTGGAGCAAACGAGGTGATGAGGTTTTACATGTTGAACTAGGCAAATGGGCTGATATTCTGTTAATAGCTCCCCTCGATGCTAATTCTCTTGGAAAAATTGCCACTGTAAGCAGAGTGTATTCCTTTAATTTCATCACTCTGAGTATCATAATTTTAGGGAATTTGTGATAATATTTTACTCTGCACAGCCAGGGCATGGGACGTTTCAAAGCCTCTAATCTTTTGCCCAGCAATGAACACTAAAATGTTTATTCATCCAATCACAGCAGTTCAAATAACAACGTTAAAGTCATGGGGTTACATCGAAATTCCTGTTATTCAAAAAACACTTATGTGTGGTGACACTGGTTTAGGTGCAATGGCTGAAGTGTCTTCTATTGTTCAGACTGTTATCGATGTGGTAGAAAAAATGTAATTTTTTTCAATTTGTAGTTATGGTGGTTTTTTAAGTGAAATAAAAGCGTTTATAACGAAAGCTAATTTTTCGTCACTATTCCCATATTGCCGATATACCGTTTAAAATTATAGGATATATGTCGGAACTGTTATTGAAATAAGCATTTTCATTTGAAAGGGAATTGCAATTTTTTCTRTGTTCATAAATTCACAGGGTMATCTATGAATATTTTCATGTTTAGAAAATACTGTTAACGCAAATCCCAAAAAGGTTTTAGCTTTGGGTCTTCTCGGCGATACTAATAGAAAGTTAAGTTTAGTTTAAAAAAATGTTTTTTGAAAAAATGGACTTGAATTTCGGTACGTTAACAATTAATTGAATAGTAGAGGATAGCTTTTATTTTTATTTTTTTATTTTTCTCACTGCTCGTTGCATTCGTAGAAATTTGTATCATGTTCCTCTGTATATCACTAATAGTTTTAGTTTGCTCAAGCTCAGTTCCTGAATTATGAACTGTATTATTACTGGGAGTATATCAAAGAACTATTCAACTTTATCTAAAAATTTACTTTTGCTCAAAGTTGTTCGTTATTGTTTTGTTACGTTAATTATGCATATCATGAAAAACCCTGCATCTGAACAATGAGGTGCACATTTGGCCCTCATGTATGGATCTTTTGAGTCCTCGAAAGAAGCAATTGAATTCTAGAAATGTTCACAGCCAGTACAACGCTTTCAAAACAAAGTTTTTAAAACTATTTCTGTGAAAAACCTAGACTTTATTCTTGAAGGTGCCAGGTCAATCAAGTTTCTGAAAAAACAACATAAAAAATGGACATTTTGCAAAATAATGAAAACCCATATCAACTTTTTCACTATCTCGTAATAGCAACATCGCTTTACATCGAAAAGTTTCAATTTGGGATTGCATGGCATAATAGAATGGAAAGGTCAAGAAAGCACAAAAAGTATATATTTTATCAAAAATCCTCGAATAATCTTGTTTTGTAATACATCCTTTATTTTCATGATTTAATAATAAGTGTTTTCATGATATATTTCAACAGTAATAATAATCACACGTAAAAACCTTTACATAAATATAATAAATATGTTGCCGTTAAATGAGTAGAGATATACAAAAGAAAAAAACACCAACAAAATGTATAACAAAGTGTAACAACGTAGAGTAAGATCATTTCCTTAATGTTGATTTTTTCGCTCTCACGTTGGGAGGTATCATTCGCTTCCAAATTTGCAACCTTTTCTCAAATAAAGCAGCTCGCTCTTTGTCAGTTAAATACAGTTCTTCGTCTATAGCGTCAATATATAAGTCACTTAATAAACCGGATTTGTAGCGCTGAAAATTATTTACTAATTTAGTAGCATTCGATAATAAATAAAGAACGTTTACTTGTAATTTACCTTGAATTTGTTTCGTCTATAAATAATTTCTTCTTCCGACACTTCCTTCAGATGACAGTATATTTTAAAAATAACGTCTGCAATCGAATCGATATTATCGTCGATTAATATTTCACCTAAAGTAACTTTTTGAATGAGTGGACTTAAGGGTATGGGTTCCTTCTTAATCATCCATTTTCGATATAATTCCAAATAACGTAATTTGCAACAGAATATATATGTTTCGCTTATATCGTCTAAGATCAGAGATGGTTGGAAGGTAAATTTTATTCTCTTGTGCGTAAATTTTGTTATTTTCAAGCCGGGCAAATTGAAGATTGTGTCCGTTTGATTTGCTGCAATGTCTTCAAAGGCCAATTTTCTTTCTTCTTCTCTTTCTTCGGTTTCATTTGCCCGAGTGGTCATCGTTTCACTCCTCGAGCTTATATCGACTGCAATACAGGACGACATTTAATTGATGCATTTTTTTGGCTTTAGCAAATTAGATTGAACAAACTGATGTTTGCTTTTATTAACTACTTTCCACTTTAATCCCTAGTAGCTCACAAAATCCTTGAAAATATCTTAGTGAATTAATTTTATTACGTATTAGTATTACGTAGACGTATTATTTAATATTTTATTTAAGAGAATTTTATGGAAATTGTATASGAAAAATAGGAAATTTCTGACTAACTCGTCGTTTYTAAACGAACGAAYAGTAGGTAATCAATTTTATTTCCTMGATAATTTTTAGTGTGTAGTTTTATGAGTTAATTTACACTTTTTCCATTTAGAGGCCAGCACAAAAATGGGAAATATTGAAAAACTCTTCCGTTTGACACTCTTCCTGCTTACTATACAGGGAGTTTTCAAATTCAATTAAAACTCAGCAAGTGTATTTAAGACAATACAACCTATGTTTTTAACAGATAGGGTTTAGAAAGGCACACTTTGAATSTACAGATCCTAAGTTSCGTAATTTCGTTCATTACGATCGTAGTTTTGCGTTAAATTATTTTTATTATACCTGTTTGCACAAWAAATTTTGATTTTCAAAAGCTAATGATGGTCGYAATATCAGCASACAGCCAAAATGTTCAAAATTTTTTGCGATCTAATTAGTAAAGAAAAAATCATAAATTTCAATTCTCTGAATTTCCTTGGTACARAAAACTGTTTGGGAGAAACATGGTTTTTGGCAAAATACACGAAACACGCGCGCACAAAAGRAATAATTACTTTTACTTACATCGTTTATATTCAATTTATAATATATTTAAAGCTTGAAATCTGCCGTTTAAAATAACTACTTAAATATTAGAWTAGTTTGCTGCRTRTCGAAAAAACTGAATAACAATAGAATATATAAACATAAAATAAAAAGTKTTATAGCTTATGACACCAACGGAAGACAAAGATGAGGGTAAAAAAGATCTGTTTTACGACACTTTGGACAGGAAACTAGCCCAACTTSCCAAACAAKACATGTCACTCATCTTGGGAGGTTTCAWTGCGAAAATTGGACAASAAAAGGCGCTAAGACCTCTTGTGGGCATGCACAGCCTGCACGATGCTTCCCACCACAATGGTCTGAGAGTGGCAGATCTTGCAGCAAGTAGTATGTTAATAAAGTCCACCACTATGTTTGAACACCAAGATATACGCAAAATGACATGGGTATCTAATGATGGCSTAACCAGGAACCAAATAAATCACGTTATAATTGATACAAGGCAGGGAMGTAATATACTAGACGTGAAAAGCTGCAGGGGAGCAGATGCCGATTCAGATCATTTTCTGGTCAAAGCCAAGATCAAAGCTAGAATATATACAGTTMAGAACAAGCGAACCAGTCGTCTCTCTCCTGAGTAGGATACAGAAAAGCTTCAACAGACAGAGATAAGACAGTATAAGAAAGAACTAGAGCGACTTATCAGAGAAAACACTAACACCACGTACAATACTAATATGGACCGTTATATCTGGAACAATTACAGAAGCAGCTAGAAATGTGGTAGGGAAGAAACCCAGTAGGCAACAGAAAAACCACTGGCATGATGAAGATTGCGAAGATCCTATGGAGCCGAGAAATACTGCTAGACTTTGACTGCCTAAGAAAAAAAGAGCCTTAAGAAAGACTGTTAGGAAGAAAAAACCGAGAATGACAAGACAGAGAATTGAGTGCACTAGAAGAAGGAAAAAATATCACGAACATTCTACCAAAAATTACGTTCTATAAAAGCAGGATTCAGACCCAGGACCGACAATATCTTAAAGAAGGAAAATGCATATGTATGTATGTATAACCGACAAAGTAGAAATGTTGCAAACGTGGAAAAACGCCTTCTATCATCTGATCAATGGAGGAACTGATGATGAAGGGGAAGCACTGTATCTGCCGACTGCAGAACAACCCAATGAGATCACTTCAACAGAGGAAATTACAAAAGCAATAAAGAAATTAAAAAATAATAAAGTCCCTGGAGGAGACTTAATTACAGCCGAACTTCTTAAATATGGTGGCAATAGTATCATAACACCGCCTGCAGCGCAACGACTCTCGTGACTACGGCCTCGAGATAGGTACTGTAGGGGGCGCGGGGATCTTGGTTTTACTACCCGGATCGCGTGACGAGGTCACTATAACACCTCCCAATGCTCACGGTATAGTGCGCGCCAAGAGATGCAAGGCTGGGGGGAAGCTTAGCCAAAGGCGACTAACCTTGGGGCAACAGGCGCACCTCATTGTATCAGCCTTACCCACACATGCGGGGCTCTGTGTGGATGGACCTAACCCTTCCCTAGCTACTCGTGGGAATGATGGGGTGGAAAACACCACCATCATACACCACAAAATACCGGCGGGACCTCCTCAGAAGAACCGTCAGGATCCGCAGCTGGCAAAGTACCGAAGGGTGGTAAAAAACTCTCGGGGGCCGGCAGGCGGAAAAACCACCAAAACTATGCTAGGTAGACCCTCAGGGGAACCAGCACACACCAAAAAAGCTGCCATGACATAAACATGAGAACTCATAAAGAGGCACCTGCTTGGGAAAATCAACGAGCTGCAGCCAGAGATGACTACCAGACCAGGTCATGTCTCGTACCTCCCCCGTCAAGATTCTTCTGAAATTCATTGAATACACAGGGATAATGAGGGAGTAAAATACGAGAGCACAATAGGGCAGAAATGACCGCGGTGCAAGGCCAAACACCACCTCGGCGGTGAGGAAAGGGTTTTAGTGGGTAAACAGCTTAGCTGGATTCCCACACAACCCAGAGTGACAGACCACCAGCTCTGGGAGTGCATAAAAGAACATTTCCCAATCCTCACCGAAAAAAAAATCATAACACAGCTACAAAAGCTCAATATATATGGAAAAAAGAAGCTATCCCTGATGACTGGAAGGTATCATCATACCGATCCACAAAATAGGCGATATGCCGGTCTGCAAAAATTACGTACACTAATCAATGTAGCCTATAAAGTCGTATCGAACCTACCAGTGCGGTTTCCTATCGAACCTACCACCATCACCCATGCTTTTTAATATCGCATTGGAGAATGTAGTAAAAGAAGCCAAAATCGAAACTCATGGGGGCTTAAAGTCAACGAGGCCAAAACAAAATACATGTATGTCTCAAGACCAGGCAGAGCTAAGATAGGACATGTGACCATGGACACATAAAACTTTGAAAATGTAAAACAATTTAATTGCTTAGGGTACACAATCACATCGGCCAACGACATGAGTGAAGAAATCAGCGAACGCCTAAAGTCAGCCAACAGCTGCTTATACGCCCTATAGGATATACTAAAGTCCAAATACGTGACTAGGAGAACAAAAAACAAAACGTATAAGACCATGATAAGACCCGTGGTAATCTACGGCTGCGAAATCTGGACTCTTACGGTGCCAAATGAGTAACTCATTCGAAGATTTGAGAGAAGAGTGCCGAGGAAATACAACCAGCCAGAACTGATTAACCTCATAAAGACACAAATGTTGAGATGAGCAGGGCACGTACGAAGACAGCCAGAGGATAGAATGGTCGGCTAAATATGGGCAGAGCAGCAGAAGGAAGAAAACCACTTGGAAGACCGAGATTAAGGTGGCGTGATAATATAGCATCGGACTTCCGGAAAATGGGCATCGAGAATGGTCTAGACGTTATGGAAGACCGAGACAGATGGAGCCAAATTGTAGCCTCAGCCAAGGCCCACCAGGGGCTGTAGCGCTCGGAGTAAATTATAGCTGCCAAATGAAACATCTGACCCAATTTTTACGATTGAATCTGTAATCTTATGTTATAAATTTGGACATGAACACTGCGTTTTTAGAAAGATTCGTTTTGGATGTTTTGCATAAATCGGGAGATAAATTTAAAGGAATAATTCACATTATCGAGAAGCTTCAGCCCGACCGTCCAAGCTATGTTTCAGAATTCACATTATTCCTGAATATTTCATCCGATAGGTTGAAAGATTAGCGCATTGCTAATGGAAAAATGAATAATTTATGTTAAATATTAAATTCAACATCCGACGGCATTTTTCTGTAATCTTGAAACGATTCTTCTATAAACATTACTTTTAAAGTTTTAAGAGTTAATAGTTAATTATAATTTTATAAATTGATGAGTTACTTCCTAGATGAAATGTCCTTGTCCGAATTATGTTGCAAAATATGCCTTGAAACGGGTATAATTTTGCATGTTTACACGATTATACGACTTGCTTCTGCATTAAAAATCCGCTATTAAAATTTTGCTTCTAATTTAGATGTATCCGACCTCTGACACCTAAAAAATAAGGTAGGTATGTTACTTTCTCTCAGAAAAAGCTGTATGTATATTCAAAATGAATATTTGGAAATACCAATTTGCATTGAAAAATAATACGTTAAATATATTATACAGATGTGAATTTTGAATATTTTATTCATTCATTCATAATAGGTAGTACCTACATACCGGGTGTCAATTTGAAAACTTCCCACCCTTAATCTCTTTCTTGTAGTTGAAAATATGAAAAATCGGAAACTCGTCAATTTTATTTGTAAGGGGGACACTTTAAATTAATATTTTTAGCCTCCTTGTTTAAACCCCCTAGGACGGGTAGATGTCACCCTTAAAATTTTAATGAGAAGGGGGTCAAGTGGCACTTCGTTTTAAAGGGTGTTCAATTGTCTTGTCATTAATTACTACTTTGTTGCTTTTTAGTCAGAGGTTTTCGAATAATCGCGTTTCAAAGCTGTAGAAACAATTAAACTTGCGTACACTCAGATATTGGTATACTGTTATTGGAAACTTAAACAGAAAAAATAATAATAAAATCCTCTTTCCACAACCTTGGTACGTTTCGGGGTATTAGGACAAGATAGTTTTTTTCCACTTCAAGTAATAACAATTTTTATAATTAAATAGTTTAAATGTAATTTTTCATGGCGGATCAAGTAATCTAGGTAAGAAGTACGATATTATCAAAATCTATAACTCTAACTCTTTACTTACGAAATGTGAATTCATCAGAATCTGACCATGAACTCATCTCGAATCAATCGTTTTTCAAACGTTTTATGCTGCTCGAACTGTTCACTTTACTTTCACGTTCACCTTTAAAATAATAAATGGCGCATCAACCAAAAGTAATCTGAATACCCATGAGTAAAAACGAAGAATAGGTATGTATTTTGTTAACATCGCTGCTTCATCGACTCGTAAATTTCAACCATGGGCATGCCATAAACATTTGCTTATTATTGCAAGTTTTATTCCGTTGTGGATTTTGTACAAAACTATTCATAACCGGCCATCGGTCATATGAAATTAAGTTATCTTGTGTGGAGTTAACTAAAACGTTTTGGTTTTACTAAAGTTTCTGGCTCGTGTTCAGTTTTGTTCCGGAGTTTTAAAGAGGCCTAATTTGACTGAAAAAAAATTAATTCAATTGACTAATAGATCCAGTTTTGCTCTTAGGTAAGGTGACTCGCTCCCTTCATTCACGAACTTTCGCAACTGACAAAGCGTTTGAGAAGTTCGAAATAAACCAGCTGCTTAAACCACCTTGTGACCGAATGGTCGTTTCTCCAATGGGCAAAAAATCGGATACAATTATGCGCAGGTATTTAAACGGCACATTTGTTTCAATACCTGCAAGTCTATGCATGTTTAAACACCAGCGATTTTTTGATAACTACGGAAATATAATATCTAAATAATAAATAAATAGATGTATGTAAAATAATACTATTGAAAATCACTGTTAAACAAGAACAAGACATTTTACCGTCTCTTTCGTACGCAGTATCATTCTCTTACCGGGCATGATTCAATTTTAAAAATAGAAAATTTTTCTGGAAAAGAAAAGGCTTTATATTTCATATACCTACGTGAATCGACAGATTAACGAAACTATATCAAAGTAAACAAACATTTTGATACAGCCAAGAAAGTATTAAATAAAAAGTATAAATTACATATTTGTACGTTGAAATTTGTTAAATAGGACAATAAAAAATTATATTTCATATGAATCGGCAATGTTACTATCTTAAATTAGACTGTCTTCAGGCTGTTATGTTCGAAACAATGTCAATAAATAAATAAAAAATTGCAGCATGGAGCAAATAAATAAGAAAAGTGCAATTTCAATATTTACACTCAATTCGAAAACATAGCAAACCTATGTGTGTTTTGATAATCCAACAAAAATAACACTAACTTAGCAAACACTTTTGTAAAAAGTATATTGTTGAATAAAATTCATTTAAATAACATGATTCTCTTATTTTTCATTTAGTTAATTCAAGCTATAAAATAAGCTCTTCGGAACTCGAACGCTTTTCAAACTGATCAGTTTTATTTTCTGTTTTGAAACTCAATACTCTGCCATGGAACGCTCCATAACTGTAATTGTCCATTCTTGTTGCCAAGAACTACGAATTTTGTGCTGAAAGTATAAAAAGTATTCTTACTTAATTCAACTTTATGCACAAGGTAGCCATTTTCCGACTGTCCGCATTCTCTTATGTGCCTAAAGATCAAGTGAAAATGTACATTAAATCCTTGCACGATTTCGGAAACTGGCCACAATGTGTATACACAACAAACAAAGTTATTAAGTAAGTAACTAAATTCACAAACATACTTTCCACTGTTCACAGCCAAGCTCGTTAAATTGCTTCGTGTGATTTTTGCATTAAATGATAGTGGAACGGATTTGCCACTGATTAAGTGATAAACTTCCATAGTCCCGTGTTGCCCACAAGCTGCCACCAATTTTTCCTCATGAGGGATATAAGAAATATCGTTTAAAGGGGATTTCGTAAAAATTACTTGAGCGGGTTCGTCCTAAAGTATTTAAATTAGTTTGTTACATGTTAAATTTTTTTACTTGCCTGATCGATTCTGTAAATTCGTATCTGTCCATCAGTGCCGCTTGTAAGAAACAGGTCTTTTCGATCGGGCGAAAATTTGATGGCGACAATTTCCCCCTTGTGGGGTTCGTAGTATTTGAAAACAGGATCATAAAAATACGTTTCCGTCGCTGTTCCTTCAACCATCAGAGCAAACGTATTTTTTTCTTACGTCTTTTATGCATATCTATTACCTACCTTTTAATTGAGTTGTTCCCAACATGGTACATCGTACTATTAAGCCTCCTTCTAAAGCTACAATAAATAAATCGGGGATGTTCTTAGAAAAATCGAATCCAACAAGACCAAGTTGTCCTTTGTCTAGCAGTGCCTCGGAAACCTCAGTGGTTTGGTTCATCTTTGCCAAAACCGGGGTTTTAATTTTATATCTGAAAATAAAATAAATAAGTCGATATGACGAGCAAACGCATTTTGTGGCTTATGACTGGAAACCGTACGTAATTTTTATTTTTAATATGTTATTTGTTATGTCGAAGTTCCATAGTTTGAGTAACCCATCCGTACTGGAACTAGCTAAACACACACTGTTAGTGGCATCGATATAATTCATCCAGGATATTTGAGTAATGTACTCATCATGGGCTAAGATGTTGCAGATCAGTGGATCTACATCGTTTTCTACATTCCAAATGTAAATTTGACCTGCAAAATGAATCCAAACTTCCTTTAAAATCTTATTTTCTTAACAAGTCAAGTTATTTCGACCTGTGAAGGTTCCAGCTGCCAGTATTCCACTGTGAATGGGGTGGTATTTTATACTAGTTACACAAGATTCTGTCGAGAGCCTTTTCTTTGGAGTATCTGATAAACAATCTCTAAAAATATTAGTTCAATTTTTGAGTTAGTCTAGTTTAGATAAACAATTTTCAAATATCCTGCCTGTTTAATGTGTATATGCAGATTATTCCTGCATGGTGACACCATGTTCTGTGCTTGTAATTGTAGGGAACCGCTAAACTTTTTCCTGAGTTATTCCATTGTAAGGAAGCAATAATCGGTATCTAAAATTCCGTTTACAGACTTTTTTCTGGTCATCAGATTGTTTTACTTACGGCTTTACTTCCAGTCTCTCCTTTCGACGCCACTTGCAACGTCTGCACCAACTTGCAAGTAGCATCAATCGGATCATCCAGTAGACGATAATTCTGGAAAATTCTGGAGTTATTTGAGTTGTCGATTTGCTCCTTGACCTGGGGGTAAATTTTGCTAAGCCATTTGCCTAATTTCTCCATGTCGACATCGGTTTGAGTCGGTTCGGTTTTTTCCGTTTGTACTTCTTGGGACTTTCTTTCGGAAGTATTACTGCCAGTTTCCGTTGTTCGAAATTCTGTTTGGCAGGAATTGTTGGCAGATACTCTAAAGTTAATTAGTAATAGTGTCGGGAGTTTTCTCCATACGCTTCACTTACTTTTTCACTTTCCACTTCGATTCGAAACCCACACATTCGTGATGTTTCACTGTAAACATTGTATTATTATTATGAAAACGTGCAGCTCAATGCATGAGCTTCACTGAGTTGACGAACTAATCAATTCTTTGCTGGAGTTGTTTGTATTTTACATCAATTCGTATCTATGGGAATAACGAATATCTTCGTTTAATGGATTTTTAAATGTTTTTACCATATAAATTCCACATGAGATCTGCATGTTATTGAGAATCATTCTTGCATCTTTTATATAATGAATTACACAAGAGTATATCAATATTATTATGGAATTTTTTGCATTTTAAGAGTGAAATTACCCACATTTTGCCTTAAAGAAAAGTATGATGAATAAATCAGAAACACCAATAAGCCAACATTTATATACTAATAATAACTCAAACTATCTAGCAATCTGCCCTGAATGTTTTTAGTCTACGCTCTATTCTTTGGCGGATTTTTTTCGATTTTTTTTAACATTTTTCATTCATTGATTTCACAAAACCAATCATTGCAAAATATCTATACAACAAGTTCTGAGATCTACAACTAAGTATATTGGGTAAAATATATTTTGTCGTTGTTTCGAAAAAAAAGGAACTCCTAGTTTGAGTTACGAAGTGACTTACATACTTTAAATTAGATTAAAAAATGGTTGACTAAAGACAGCGCTTTTAAGAAAATCTAAAATTACAAATTTCTACAAAACACGAATATTTTACAGAAACTTTATAAAAAATTTGTTTTTTTACTTTCGGCATTTTAGCAAGTTTGAGGTTGTTATTTTTCTCATGAGGTAGATTTTTCAAAATAAATAAAATTTCAAAGTAAATTGTCTCTTAGTTTATATTTCAGTTCTGAAGCATCCAAGACACTTGGGCTTTAGTCGTGCGAATTTCTGTTTTTTACTTTTCCCGTTTTTAACATGGAGTTTTTTTCCTTGATGGTGTAAAAACATACAGACGAGAAATTCGAGGAGAAATTCATCTTCATCTTCTTATTCTTTGTAAAGACCTTTGGTTTGTTTATTTCGTCTGGTCAATGTTCTTGATTCTCCTGTGATATGGATGTCCAACTATTCTTTCATCTTTTCGGTGGTCTTCCGATGGGTATTTTACCAGCTGGATTTCCATTCGACACAATCTTGCCTATTCTTTCTACATGGTCCCGCCAGCATCTTCTGCGCTTTCGTCCCCATCTGATTACATTCTCCACCTTGCAGGTCTGTTTTATTGTTGCGTGTTTTTCGCGCTATTGACCTTAGAGTCTTCATCTCTGCCGTTCTTAACATACATTTTCTTTTGTTTGTGTTTGCTCAGGTCTCGATGCCGTAGGTGAGTGCAAGGTGAGGAGACATTAATTTTCAAAAAACCAAAATAAATTAGTTCTCAATTTATTTTTCTTCTGACGCGTTGAAAACACTTGGGCTTTAGACGTTCGTTATTCCATTTTTTTCTCCAGTTTTCAACATACATTATTTTAGAGGTTTTCTTTTGGGCGATCGTGCAAAAACATGGAAACGAGAAATTCGAGTTGGAAGTTATTTTCAAAAAGAAATATAAATTAGATCGCAGTTTGCCTTTGAATTCTGAGCCGTCGAGTACACTTGGGCTTGGGGAAAAATAACCACTAAAGTCGTTATTTTTCCAATATTCAACTTAATTATTTTTTAGTTTTTTTGACCGATCGTGTAAAAACATACACCGAGAAATTATAGTCGAAACTTATTATTCAATTCTGAAGCATCAGAAATACGTGGGCTTTATTGTGGCTTATTCGCGTGATTTTTATTCAAACTTTTTGAGTTTTCAAAATAAAGTTTTTCTGATGTTGTGTAGTTTTCATGGGCCAATGAAAAAATAGTGTTTTATTTTTGCCACCATGTATTAACCGAAAACCCACAGACCTAAATAGGTGCTTTTACTGAAGATGATGAAGTTTTTCTGCTCAAGAAAAACATATGAGCGAAAATTATTCGAGTCAAGTTATTTAAAAAAAATAAATATAAATTAGTCCCTCTTTTGGGCTTTCGTCGTGCCTTTTTTACTTTTCCAGTTATTGACATTATTGTTTTAGAGTTTTTTTGCTCGATGGTGTAAAAACATACAATAAAGATTTTTTACATATTCTTCTTGAAATGCCAATATTTATTCCAAATATTGGCGATGATCCTGGATATCATGACTTTGTTCACGACTGCTTTAAACAGCTCAATAGTAGTTTTTGAGAACCACGTTCTTAAGTTTTTAAGCCATGATATTCTCCTTCTTTCTGGTGGTTTTCTGCCAGAAACTTTCCCTTGGAGGACGGACTTTAAAAGTTGATATTTGCTTTTGTTCCTCATAATATGTCGGAGGTACTCAAGCTTTCACTTAATGGTGTTGATTACTTCCAATTCCTTTTTCATTCTCTCCATCACTGCTCTGTGGGTGACTCTGTCCACCCATGATATTCTCAACCTCCTCCTGTAAAGCCACATTTCGAAGGATTCGAGTTTTTTTGTGTTGCCTCGGTTAATGTCCATGACTCCGTCCCATAGAAAAGAATCGAGAAAATACAGCATCGGAGGAGTCTGATTTTGATGTCGATGTTGAGGTCGTGACTTGTAAACAGTTTGCCAAAGGTGGCCCTTGTTTTCTTTATTCTGCACCTGATCTGTGTGTGGTCCCAATTATCATTGATTATCTCTCTTAGGAATAGGTGAACTGTGTTACTCTGTCTATTGGTGTGTTGTTGATCGTTAAGTCGTATCTTTCTCCAGTTTCTCTACTGATTACGATTAATTTGGTTTTGCTAATGTTAATTTCTAAGCCATAGTTACTGCTGACGTCCTTTATTCTGTTCATTCGTTCTTGTAAGTTGTTTATGTTGTCAGTGAAAACCACAGTTACATCTGCGTACCGGA